CGAGCGTCGGTTGTACACAAAACACGTTAGATCTCCTCTTCCTTGCCCGACTTCGCACTCCAACGTCTGTTCCCGAGGAAGAACCCGGGGGCGCAAGCTGTCGCATTTGTCTGCCTTGAACGTCGATTCGTGTAAGGACGAGCGGAGGCGATGGACCTCAGAAAGGACAGTCCAAGGCTATAAAGATGGCAGGAATGCAGTGGCATTGATGATGACAGTGAGCGCTCTGAACGAACGACTTGAAGACGCAGTGAGCGAAAGGCTGAAGGAGGCAGAGTGTATTCTACAAGAAGACAATGACGGAGACGGAAGAAGAAAGAAGTGACGTGGACAAACAGACAAAGTGCGATACAATGACAATGACAGAGCGCGTGCGTGAAAGCAGGACCAGCAAGACCGACAAGGGCGGGCAGGAATTGAAGGAGGTGGTGCGACGTGCTGACGAAAGGAGCGTGTGCTTGGGACTCCGTCTCGGGAGTGCCAAAAGGGGTATTCGAGATGCGACGATCCAAGAGAGACAAGCCAAGATTTGCCAGTAGCGATTCCGGGGAAGGAGAGCGGGAAATTGTCCGTGGGAAGGGGCCGAGAGAACGATCTAATGGGCAGGATGGACAGGAGACAGAGATGTGTCCAAAGGCTCTATGGGTGGTAGGGCGTCCAAGCGCATTCAGTAGGCGCGGCCGTGGCCATGGCCGTGCTGTCCGTGACCATACTGCTGGGCGTAGTTTTGATACGGGCTCTGCAGGTAGGCTGGGTGCTGCTGGTAGTACTGCTGCGTCTGTTGCGGTGTGGGCGAGTGCATGGCGTGGGGCTGCTGGGGCGAGTGCTGGTAGCCTGCGGGCGCATAGTCGTACTCGGGCTGCATGTTGTGGTAGGACTGGGAAGGATGCACCTGCTGTCCGTGGCTGACCGAGGTCATAGGGCTCTCCCAGCCGCGGAGGCCGGGCGAGTTCTGGTACGCCGGGTAGGAGGCGTGGCTCTCGTCGGCAAAGTCCCTCTCGAGGAGCGGGTGGTCGTCGTGACGCGGGGGAGCCTTGAGCATGGCCGATGCGCGGGCCTTGCGTGCGTTGGACTTCTTGCAGGAGCGGACGCAGCACCAGATGAAGAGGCCGAGGAGTGCGATGAGGAAGACGCCACCGCCGGCAGCGATGGCGATGATGGCGGTCTTGCTGAGCGGCATGTCCGACTTGAAGCCGCTGGTGGACTTGAAGGTGGGTGCTGCGTTGCCCGAGCCGGTGGCGGTGCCCGTGGTGCCAGGAGTGGTGCTGGCGAGGTTCTCGCAGTTGGCGGTGTTGACCGACTCGCGGCCGAGGCGGAAGGTGCTGGCGACGACGACCTGGCTGTCACGGACGGGGACGGTGAGCGTGCCGTCGGAGCCGACGGTCATGGTCCACTGGGTGGCGTTGACGGTGCGGGGCTGACCGTTGCCGGACTGCTCGTAGCTGATGCCGTTCCAAACGACGTTGGAGGTGGACTCGACGCCGTCGGCCGAGAGCACCGAGAGCCAGACGGTGCGGCCTGCCAGGCCCGGAAGGCTGAGGACAAAGTTCTGGTAGGAGGGGTTGCCGCTGTACGAGTAGTAGGGCTGGGTGTTGATCATGACGACGGAGCCGAGCGCGTTGCCTCGGTAGACGGCAAAGGCGTTGAGGCGGTTGGTGTAGGCGCCGGGCTGGTTGCTGAGCGAGACCTGTGCGATCCTGGTGTTGCAGGTGGCGCCGATGATCTGGGACCAGGCGGCCCAGGCGTAGTAGGTGGGACGTACGTGAGGGCCCTGGCCGTTCATGTAGTTGGTCTGCCAGGGAGCGGCGATCGAGTACTGGGTCATGTGCATCTGCACTGCGCTGATCTGGATGCTGGCAGCGAAGAAGAAGAAGTTGAAGGTCCAGAGAGCGTTTGCAAAGGTCTCGCTGATGCCCTGGAGACCGTTGGGGCCGACGCTGCCCATCTCGCGGAGGTAGTAGGGCTTGCCGGTGACGAGGGCCTGCTGGACCTGACCGGTCCATTCGCGGAACTGGCTGACGGTGGTGGAGAGGTCGAGGAGGATGGGAAGGGTGAGCTGGTAGTTGGAGACGTTGACGTAGTAGTAGTAGTCGTGCTGGTTCCAGCCTGCGACGTAGATGCCGTTGTCGGCGGCGACGCCGGTGTTGACGAGGTTGGAGATGCGGAAAGGCTGTCCGTTCTTGGTGGCGGTGGTTGCGGTGGTGGCTACCTCAAAGTAGTTGGAGTTGATGCCCCTCGGCTTGAGCACCTGGTTGTAGACCGCTTCTGCGCGGCTGGACCACTCGTTGCCAAAGTCGTATACGGACCAGTTTTGGGAGCGGTAGCCGAGGTCGATGTAGAGGTCTGGCTCGTTGCCGATTTCGAGACCGACGATCTTGGCGCCGTTTGGGTTGGTGCCGACGTACTCAAAGGCTGCCTGCGCCTGTGCGACGACGCGGTTGAGGGCGTCTGCGCCGGTGTAGGCGAGGTTGAGTCCGTAGGTGATGGGCGTCCCGTCAGGGAAGTTGTTGAGTGCTTTTAAAAAGTCGGGGCCAAAGGTGTAGTAGTCCGAGGGCCTCGCGTTGCCGGAACCGGTTGGGTTTGCGTTTTGCTGGAGGGCGGTGCCTGTGACGGAATCGTCGTAGAGCATGGTGTCGCCTGCATTGCCGCCGAGGCGGATGTGAGGCGGTGCGCCGGTGTAGTTTGCGAGGTTGGAGAGCAGGTTGTAGGTGAGCTGGTTGGGGGAGGTGGAACCGGTGTAGACGATGAGGTCAGAGGGTTCGATACCGAAGCCGACGTAGGACGGGCTGATTGTGACTGAGAGGGTGCCTGCATTGGAAGCGTTGAGAGCCGGGGAGAGGTTGACGTCGGCGAGGGCGGAGCGTGCGAGCCAGAGAGAGGAGGCGAGAGTGGCGACTAGCGCCGAAGCGGACGAGCGCATATTGACTGGATGTCAGCCTGCCGAGAGCAGCGCCGGGGTCTGATGGTCCGAGATGGTATCCGTCGAGGAGGATGGATGGAGGATCGAGGTGATGGAAGTTGGTGGGAAGAAGCGAGCGTCGTGTGGGAAGCCGAGGACGAAGCTAGGAGGGAGCGTATCCGGGATCCAAAGGAGGAGGAGGAGGAAAGGGGGGAAAGGGTGCGGATGCGTGTTTGCGACGTCGCCAACGGTATATGAGCGAGCAGGAGAGCGAGTGGCCGGCGATGGTGGAAAGGCAATCAGAAGTGCCGAGGATGTTTTGTGGCAAGGGCGAGCGAGTGGTTAGGGGCCAAGGGTGGTGGACGAGAACCAGAACGAGAACGAGAACGAGAACGAGAACGAGGATGGCCGAGCGGCCGGCTGAGATTGCAAAGCCGAGCATACTCTCCAGACGGCCAACAGCCAACGGACGGGCGGTCCAACGGAAGGAAACAGCCCCTCGGTCGTGCAAAGTCCGGGGAGCAGCAGGGCCTCAGGGCTCCAGGGCTTCAGGGCTCAGGCCGATCCGTGGGATGACAGCGGATGGGCACGACGGCCACCCCCAAATGGCCGACTTTTTTTCTTTTTTGGCAAGGCACCGCACGGGAACGGCGAGGCGGACAAGGTGCATGACGCTCAAGAAACAGTGCATTTGGTTGCCCGAGCGCAGAGCTTCGACTTGCATGCGAAGCTTGAGCGTGCGCAGACGCAGACGCCCAGATGGACAGTCGAGGCCGGCGCTCCCTCCGCTGGATTTCGACAGGAAAAACTCGAGATAAAACTCTCGCCGGGGCTGTGTCAGAGCACGAGTGTGAGTGTGAGTGTCAACCTGACTGACCAAGCCAGCTTGTCTATGGCACAGTCGACGACGCCCGTTCCGCCTCCGATCGCCCAGCCTCTCGAAGCTCCCAGGGGCGTTGTGCAGTCCAGATGACGGAGGTGCCTCCAGAGTCGGGCAGGCGCCGAGCAGTCTCGGGTCGTGGCAGAAAAGAGGCAGCTTCCAGGCTGCTGCTGAGTCGTCACTCCGATGCGCACGAAAAAGGGGGGCGGGCCATGTTCAAGAAAGAAAGAAAAAAACAAGGTTGGCGGCACTCGTCTACTGCCTGGGGCCTAGTTTGGCAAGTGACGTGCGTTTTGCTTCCAAAACGTGGATTTTCATAAGAAATTTCTTCGAGCAGCCAGCGGCAGCGGCAGCGGCGGCGGCACGAGCATCAGCAGCAGCAGATGTGGTGTCAGCCGAATTTCTGTATTCGCGGGTAGCAGACGCGGGAAAGCATGTCTGAAATCACGAGACACTGACGTCGCGCCTTGGCTCCACCCGAACCCCCGACCCCCCCAGGCCGATGGTGATGACTTGCGATATTGGCTTGGCTGCTTGGCGTCCGATTCAGTATTCCGTGTCTTGGAACTGAGCGCGAGAAGCCAGAATCCAGCTGGGCACGCCCGGGACCCGATTTGGCAGTCGAAGCGGATCGCAACGGCCCTCACCGGCGCTCACCGGCACGCACGGCACCCGAGCCGAGCATCGCCGCAGTCATGCTTCGCCCTCTCTCTCTCTCTCTCCTCCACCCAGCGCCGGAATTCCAGCGCCGGTCCATCCGCCGCAACGCACGTTTTGAACGCGACTCGGGTTTGGAGTCCCAATCTTTGTGGCCTTACACGCACTCTCACACTCGAAGTTTTTCTTATCGCTCTCTGTGTCGGCTCTTCCGGCGTGGCGCTGTGACAAGACTTGGCGCTTCCTTTGGTCAATCACTGGACTAGCCTCGTCGCTGGCACGCTTTGGCGCCGCACTTTGCGAGCCTCGGAGTGGCGATAGCAATGCGTAGGGCATGCCGTCGGTCGGTTCGCTGGCACCCCGCTGCACCTGCATAAGCAGCTGCTGCACCTGCAGGCGTGTCTGCCGAGCCAGGCTGCACTCTGCAGGGTCAAGTCCGAGCCTCTCCCCCTGCCAACCGCACGCGCTGCTCCCCCGACCCTCGCTCGGCCTTACCAAAACAAGCTAAATTAAAGGTACAGCTCACCCACTCTCCCGACAGCACATGCATGCACGCACTCGGCCTGCCATGCCTTGCCAACTCGCTAGCTCCGGGCTCTTTACGCACTCTGGACGCGTGCCGCTTCGCCTGACTTGTCTGCGTAGGATTCGTCCCTTACAGCGCGTCGCCCCCTCGGCCCTTCCGCCGTCGGTTCCGTTGGGAACTGCTAGCATTGCTTCGATCGGCTTCGCCCTTCCTTCGCACCCTGGCGCCACGCGCTTCTCAGAGCTCCAGCAGCCACGCGCTTCCATCTCCCGACGTGGCGCTCGCTCTGCTCGTCTCAAAGATGCAGCTTCTTCGCCTTCCGTGCATCGGAAAGCACGCCACTCGCAACAGCCACCCTGCCTCGTCAACTCTACTGATCGCCGCCCTGCAGCCAAACGCGGCTTCCATTCGCGCTCCTTCCCGACTGGCGTCCTTCTAATGGCGCCTCGCCGCGGTCACGTGGCCACGTCCCTCTCCAACAACGTCCCGACTTTCCGCTCGCAGCCATCCTCTTCCCCTGCTATTGGACTGTCGTGGTCAGCCGCGGTCGGTCTCGAACGTGAATGCACTTGAAGACACGGATCAGGTTGCGCGAGTCATGGCTTCCTTGTACAAGATTGGTCTCCCGTATCGACTCTGGGTCTCATGCCGCTGTCTTGACCCTCAGCTTCACGTCGTTCATAACCGAATCCTCCTTCTGTATCTCGTTCGTAATTTTTAAACAGAGCGAGGGCGTTCTCGTCCTTCATCGCTTTCGCCAAAATATTCAACAAGCGGCATATCGCGTGACAACACGATCTTCGAAATTTCGTGCTTACCAGTCATCAATCATTAAGTTCGGGTTCGTCCTTCTCGCCTCCTTGCCAAGCTTCTATCTTGACGGCGCAACCTCATGATCCATCAAACGATTTTTCATGGCTTTGATGACTCTCTACGACGTCGATGCATTTCGACGACATTGATTGTATTTTCTCTCCAAAACAAAAATCATGAATGCTCAACTGCACTCAAAGCATACCAAACTGAAATTCTCTGAACTACGTATAGCATTTGAATCCTGAAGTGACATGAGCGGGCCCATTAACGAAACAGGCCCATCAGAGAAACAAATCTACGCCGTGCTGAAGAATCAGCAAGGCTGCCAGGCTCATTCATCAGCCAGCTGGCACCTAGTTCATGATTCATACATGCGCCTGACTGGCCCCAAGCCGACTGGTATCAGGCTTCTCGTTTCGTGAGACTAGGGATCCAAAAGCAGCTTCACACACGACAAGAGTGTTTGCAAAATGTCCACCATGCGAACTGCATAGAAACCTCGATGACCTATTGCAAAATGCGGAAGCTTGAAATTTTAAAGCGAGCCCCACGCTCAAGCGCGTTGGCTCAACTCAATGTAGTAGCCAAGCACATAGCTAATGATATTAGCTCGACGGGGAAGCCAACCAGTGTGCGCGATTCGCTTGCGGTTGGCTTCGGCAACAAATTAATGCGGCTAGCTGAGATCTTGCTTTAGATGTCTATCATATACTCCATTTGGCTCGATATGAATCATGAAATCTCGTCTGTCGTCCTACGAAGCCGGCATTGTACCATCACTGTTCCTTGTTTTTTTACGGAAAGACTCAGGCCATTTGTTTTCTAGGTTTTCATGATTTCCAAGTGGCGACAAAGAAAAACGAATTCACAAATCATGAATGCGTATGCAAATCGAATGTAAACGTTGCTTGATATTGTGTGAGAGACCCGAAAGGATATTTTCCTGATTTAATCTAATTCTGGAAAAAAAAAACTTCTTCTTCACACTAAAACAGCTATCAATCGTGACTTTGTGGCATCACCAGATTGTAGCAATCCGGGCGTGGCTCAAGTTCTCTCGCATTGCGCGTGTCTTCACTTGTCTACTTCTTCGATGGTTCATATTTATGTGTCCATGATTTTACACGATTGCGGCGACAGAATCCACGGCAGGATCGGCAAAGACGTAGAAAGCGTAGCAGATACAATGAAAGCGTCATAAGACCTTTTTGGGCATGATGTCTCGAGAGAGTTGTCATCTTTCTGCGACTTGTGTGCGCAAAGAAGATATTGGACTCTTT